ATAGTACAGGTAAGATCTCCCACGATATGACATTCCTGGCAATAGGAAGCGTAAGCTTACTGGAATTATGGATAAGCCTCAAGAAACCACTAAACCACCCAACGTATTAAATGATAAGAGAAGTAGGCCATCGGAGAGTAATGATAATGATTGTCCCACCTACTGTAACAATAGTAGTAGCAATAACAATGATGATACCAATAATAGCCAGAGTGCAGATTGCTTAGTTGATGAAGCTAAATCTGCACCTCAGCCATCAACCACTATTTGTTATGACCCAGCCAAAACTTGGTCAAACTGGGTATACAATCCATTTGAAATTGACTGGCGAAGTGAAATGTGTCAGAAATTGTTTACATATTTATGCTCACAATAGTATGAGACACAGGACCTGATGCACAGCTCAGGTGTCCAAACCTTCAGACATGTATCCCTGTTATAGGTGACAGAAATTGTTTCTTCAGATTGATTTCTCATGTCATAATTGAAATCCACAGCAGCATAGATAAATTCATTCCATAGTGGTGTAATATTTAAGAGCAAATTCTCATGTGTTTCTTATTGCCTTGAAAGTACACAGTATAATGTAGATGCTCCTGATACAGTAGCCGCAATTATCTCCTACATGGAGTGGTCTAGAATGGCTAGAAACAGATGTTAGGCTTCAGCTTTTGAGATTACATGCTTTGGCCCATTTACTGAAGACGTCTAACTTTAACTTTATGGATGTGTGCAGGTGTGAGATTAGCAATTGACAAAAATGTCGATGTCAACCTGTGGACTGGATTACTAACAGCTAGACTCTTCCACTTGCAATGGCTGGCCAGCATGTGTAGGAATTAAATGATGCACAAGCTGTCTATCTCTATAATCCATCAAATCATTTTGAGGTAGTAACATCTAATGTATCAAATGAAATGTAATTATGTGCTGAGAATTTATTATGTAGTTACATCAAGAGCAAATACTAATAATAATGATAACATTAATAATAAAAATACATAATTATAGTAACGACAAAAAAAGATGATAAAAATAATAATTAATGAGAGAGCATATTATTTATGGCCATAGCTTCAGATAAATAATAATGAGATGGTGTTGTATTGGCCGCAGCTCAAAATGAATGATATGAGGCTGTCTTTTTGACCATAGCTTCAAATGATATATTACTGGGACTGTCATATTGGACATAGCATAGAATAAGTCATTTCAGGAGCAGTGTCATAATGGCCATTGCTTATGATGAATGTTAACGAGACAGTGTCATATTCACCATAGCTTATAACGAATGATATATGAGACTGCAATATTGCCCATACCAATTAATAATTCATGAATAATGAACTAGACACTATCATTATCGCCAATTTCAAGAGAAACAAATTTTTATTGTTCAGACACTCTCAAAGATTTTATCTAGAGACACTGTTTATAATGACACTGCTATAATGGCCCTTTTTGTCCCCTTCAATACCAGCTTGACTTAATCATGTTGAAGGGGTGACAACAATTGATACACATTGTCCTTACTGCTAACAGAGCTGACTTTATGCATATTGCACGGTTATAATTACTTAATAATATTGTTATAAAAATTTACACAAACAAGCTATTCCAAAAATTATAAAAAAGATTGAGTAGGATTCAATGTATGAATTTGTCAAAACAGTAATTGAAACAAAGAAAAGAAGTATGCCAAAGTACTGATTATTCCAAACGACAGATTATTCAGAATGACTGACTATACCCGCATGAACAAGGATGTGAAATGAAAATTCTGCTCTCATCGTGCAAATTTTACATTGCCTAGACAGTGCTGGCAAGGTGGTTATTTTCTTTTCATTTCTTTTTAAATACTTTAACATTGGCTGTAATTTATTATTTAATTTGCTGATGCAATTTTTGTATATTGAATTATCTGCAATGTTTAGAAACTGCTACTATTAAGAACTTTGTGTAAACAACACGCAAAATTTATAAATAACTAATGAGAATTGGGGTATTAATGAGAATTGGGGTATTTCACACAATTTCTTTCTTAAAGAATAAATTCTAATTTATCCTTCAGTGCTAGTGCATTAAAATTAGTGTGCATTTTTTCATAATGTCAAGAAAGCAAATAATGTATCTGCTTGCTTTATTATAAACATTTGTAGCATTGCAAGTTCCTTGGTTTTAATGTATTATTTGTAATATACATATATATATATACATCTAATTCTACAGTGGAACATCTGTTAACGGACAGTCCATTTAATGGACATGTATCTTATAATGGACGGTATCAAGTGTCCGAATTGAATTTTTCATTTAGGCAGTAGAAATAAAACCTCTGTATACCGGACTGTCTCTATTTCAGACAGGGAACAGTCAGACTTGCACAAGGCAGGACGTATTCACAGAAAATAATTTCATCAAAATAATTAATCTATTTCGCATACTGTTAAGAATATGGCGGCTTTGATACTTACCACTCCCTTTTGCCTCAATACCGTAAAATCAAGTTTCTTAAATGCTTATGGACACCAGTGAGAGGAATAAAAACTATTGATACAAAAACTGTCCCATTTCTAATAAGGTCTCATGTGATGCTAATTAAGTGAGCTTTTTACCCTTTCAAACCTCCTCTGGCTGTGCACCATTAAGAAAAATTACATTAATATAAAGCAACCTCCGTAAATGGACAGTGGAAGTGCTAAAAATACTTTGATATAGACATAAATAGTCGAGCATATCATAGCAACATGAGTCCACAAAGTCAGCAAAATGGAGGAAGAGTCTGTTGCTTTGCAGTTGGTAAATCTAGATGATGCTGTGTGTATAAACTACTTGTAAACTTTCAGACCTACTCTATCCAGTGACGTGTATTTTTGTTCGATGCAACTAATCATTGGTGTTTAATTGTTCTGCAAATCGTCCTGTTTGAAGTTGTTGTCCACAGGATGCAAGTTTTGTACCTTGTATGCAAAAGTTCTAAATAAATCTGACTAAGGTTTATAAACAAATAAACAGTGTCAAACTGGAGTACAGTAACAAGATTTTAATAAAAAGTAACTTCATGTTGACAAGCTAGGAGCTACAAACTGTTCCAGAAACTTGTTTGCTTTGTACCCTTAACTCCATCACAGTAGATGCTACAGCTCTTGAACTTTGGATATAAAGCTTCATCTACATGCTGAGGGCAATAAGCTATTATTATCTCTTAATTTCACTGCATAAATAAATATGAATGTTCTATTTTAGAAATAATTAATGATACACAGTATTATGACTCATCATCCAGACTTTTCAAAGGCTGTGCTATTCTATTACATTCAAGAGGAGTAGGACAATTTAATAATTATTGAAAATACTGATAAAAGGACTTGTGTTAAAAATAAAGGCCGTGAAAGGGAAAAGAAGTGAAAACCTCCAAAAAGGTCTCATATTTTTATGTCTCCATTAATATTATTTTCAATAATAATTGTTTGTTCCTTTAAATAAAAAAACGATATTTGTACATGGTATTTAGTTGATCGAGCTAGAGCAGACCTTACCAACCTGCGATTTGAATTCTGATGCCGCACTCTTTGTTAGGCTGTAATCACTTGAACATGTTACATATTTGTACTTCAAAACTTATGTTAGTCTCACTTTAATTGTTCATTCACTTTATCGGAACAATTGTCGACACTATAGGCAGAAAGAAGTTATTCTCTAGTAGAAAGAAGCTCACAAACTTATGCGACAAGTATAGCATTACATCTTGCAAACCACTCACTTATGACAATTTGAAAGACAAACTAAATAGTACCCTATTACCGGACGGGTTCTCTAAAATGGAAGATACAACATCAGGCTTGATTGTTCTTTGCTGCATTGAAGTAGATGAGAAGACTCCTTCTCCGTCGTAATTAAGCAAAATCTCAGATATACAATAAATGAATACGGTAGGCGCAATGTATCTCTGCCTGAAACAAACAAATTATTGATCATGAACATATCCTATTTTTGATTACTTACATATCATCCTTTGAACATTGCAATGGTGATTCAGAGAAATGCTATTTGTTGCTACCAAGGAAAGAGACACTAAATGTAAGGTATAATCTAATACACTTGTTGCATTACAGGGTGTCATGAAAATATTCATTGATCTCAAAATTTTTATATAAATTTATTATCATTTGCCAATATATTTATATAATTTTGCTAAAATACGCAACATTCTCCTAGAAAAAAATCCTTAAAGATTCAGCACTTTGAAGGATTCAGCCATTACTTCTGGTAGTGGGCGTGGCCACACAATGACGTAGAAGGGAGAACAGAAATGAATTCAGAGCACTCTGAGTCTTTTAATGAAGCCTCTGAAACTGAAGACTTCCTGGGAGAAGTAGATTTCTGAAGACTTTCTGGGAGAAGTAGATTTAAATAACATACAGCCTTACATGTATGAAACAGAAGCCAGTACTAGTAGTGAATAAGAAGACCCTGATGATGATCCAGAAAATCGCCTCATTAATACAAATTGGTAAACTGCCTGACAGAGAATGATGTATACATATAGACTATGGATGATGTATATACCTTCTTAGTTTATTAATACACTACTTTGTGACAGGTGCCTATGTGGCTTCTGCCAGTTTATGCCTACTGTAGCAGAATGTGTGCGCCGTCGTGAAATGCCTCAAATATCTACAAAAATCAATGAATTACCATCCCCGATACCTACATGCATAACAATTCATCCTGGATTTTCCAGTGTCTGCCTAGATCAATGGGTTCTCCAGACAGCTTTTTATTTTTATGGTCAACACTATGGTAACTATTACCATGGCCCAATTTATGAGTAAGATTTTGAAATTTTGTGAAAAAATTTATTGTTAATCACTATAGCAAGCTGAGGAATATTGCCTACAGACAATTAACCAGATGGTGCTGGCAATAGCTAGGGCGTGATGTTTGTGTGGTATTGCCATCGTGTAGTGTAACCAAAATAAGACACACCTTTCCAACACATTCATCACATTATATTGGTTTTAAATTATAAATTAATTTAGTTGAATCTACTCATGTGCTGTGTTATAGTATCTGGTTTTGATGGTTTCTCATATTGACTAGCTAATGTAGGTGGTGGATTGGTAGTAGTGTGAATTGTAACATTGTTGATAGCCAATTTGATTGCTTCTATCATTACATCATGTGTATAGCCTAAAGATATATTTCAATAATGAAATACAGGATTTGTTACATCAATTTTACCTTATGAGCTACTCTCTGTAATTTTTCTCACAGTGTGACCTCCTTTTTGAATTTCGGAAATAAAATGCTATATCTTTTCTCTCCAGATTTAGTAATTGCTTGTTCTTCCCAGCATTTTTATTGAAATGCAAAGCAGAAAGTTGCAACCTATTATATAATGCATGTCTGATAAATATTAATCAATAAGTTAATAGTACCTAGCTAACATACGAAAGAGCAGTATGCTTGGGTGCAAAATGATTCACCATGCTATGATACGCTTCCAATTTTGATGTTTGGAAAGTATTTGAGCATTTAGCAATACCCGTACACAAATGCTTGTTTTAAATGACAGAAAGTAAAGTGATACTGGCCTGTGTATCTATATAGAATTTAACATAATACTTATTTAGTATCTGTACCCACTTCTTTTTATTCATTTGCATTTTCCAAGTGGGCCATGAGAGCACTTTTAGTACAACTTGCCATGCCCTTGATGCTTGTTATGTATATGATTGCATATTGACACCCATTTTTCTAGAATAAGGTCTTCATTATCTTCTTTTGTTGACATTATTGACCAGTACAGATAATTCACTATGCTACGTGTCCATTCAGCAATAGTGTCACTTCCTTTCTTCTTTGCTAGCTTATCAAGTTTTTTCTGAAGTCCTACATGTTTAAACAAATGTCAGATACATGTGTGCATGTACCATAAACAGTCGGAGTAGTAGTTGCATGTATTTATTTTAGACACTGTATACTATTAATATTACCTTTGGCCAGATGCCATACATCAAATTTGTGCTGAATTCCTGTCATGTGGTCCTTCATCCACTTTGTTATTTCAACATGTCTGTCAGTGACTAACACATTTACATCTAATTCTTGTTTCTTCAAAAATGTCATTCCTCTTATGCAGCCCTCTTTTTCCATGTTGGTACTTCCCTACACTTCATTGCTCTATTAAATAATTAATATTTTCTAAAATATTATATTGGGAAAAAAGCACCTGTATTAGTTGTGAATCAATAACTAGACCACGTTCCAAGTCCATCAATGTGTATGATCCATATTTTGCACTGTATCCCGGGCTGACGCACCTTCCATCACCTCCAATTGATAATTTATTGCCACTAGCCTTCGAAGATGATATTATTTCTGATTGGATTTTTTCCCATTCTAATCTAATGGCTGGTTGAACAGATGTATTCTGATGTCGAAAGAATGTAGATTTTGCAATAGATGCACAGTTCATAAATTGAAAGAATCGAATTACTGGACTTGGCAACAATCCTGCTGATAGTAACGCTGATGACATTAAAATATTCCCAATTGGATAACCTTGACTAACTGGTTGGCTATGCTGTATTCGAGTATGTGAACATACATTACATGTTTGCTTGACAGATAAAAATGTTCCAATTGTTCACAAGTCAATTTCAACCTCCGATTTACAGTTTGCACATTGTTGAAATAGGCCTAGCAAGCATGATTTAAAAACTATAAATTTTTTTCCTCTATGTACAATTTACAGGCATCTTCGGTGTTTATATCATTTCTATAGCTTCTAGAATTCAAAATACAAATAGTATTGCATGTGCAAGCGTTATAGCACTTACTCTATGTCAGAGTTATCTTCCATTAATATATCTGAATCCCATGACATTTCAGTACCATCAAATGATGAACTGTATGAGAAAGTTCTAATAAT